TAAGGGGAGTGCATAAACAAAGAGAATACGGATAAGTCATGGAAGTAAGAGGAAGAAATAAAATCTGTAACTCAAATGCATACATAACCGTAGCTAGTAATGAAGTATGTGATAGTGGGTCATACTGGGGGTGCCTTAAATAGAATATGACCGGAGCGATCATAGCCGTGGCCGTGGTAAAAATAAGGACTGGAGTTAATGTGGTCGTAGCCATAGTAAAAGATGATGACCAGAGTCATGATGTAACTAGAGCCGTGATAAAAAATGATGACCGGAGTCATAGAGGCCGGAGCCGTGATAAAAAATGATGACCGGAGTCATAATGGTCGGAGCTGGAATAAAATATGATGACTAGAGTCATAATGGCCAGAGCCATAATAAAATATGATGACCGGAGTCATATAGGTTGGGGTCGAGGTAGAGTATGTGACATGTAGTCACAGTAACCAGAGCCGAAGTAAAGCACGTGTCTCTATGGCCAGAACCAGAGTGAAACATGTCGCACTAAGTCAGTGTGGCCATAACCGAAGCGAAACACTGTGCAAGTATAAAGATGGGGGTCATAATGGCAGGAGCCATAATAAAATATAATGACCGAAGTTACAATGGCCGGAGCCATAATGAAATAAAATGACCGGAGTCATAATGGCCAGAGCCATAATAATATATAATGACCGGGGTCATAATGGCCGGGGCCGAAGCGAAACGTATCATAATGGGTCACCATGACCGAAGCCGATGTGAAACATGTAATGCAAGATCGTTGTGGCCGGAGCCGAAGTGAAACACTTGCAAAAATTGAGAATGTGTATAAGTAAGCGAGAGTGTTGAAATGGGTTTAAGTGAGCCCGTCTGAGAAGTCTGACACAGGGGTAGTGTGTGGTGTGACAGTTGTCCTTTGAATGACGTGCGCAATAAATGCGGCCGTAAAAAGATGACTGCACCAGTTAAGCGGGAAGATTTAAAAATGAACCGTCGAGTGCAAAACGGTACCATTTGAGGTTGGCCGTCGAATTCCAAACGATGTCAATAGGAACCGTAAGATTAAACGAATCTCAACCGTTGAGATCTAATTTTGTCCAGAAGTATAAATAGGCATTTTTTCTGCAGAAAGAGGTTTACTTGCATTTCTTTTCCTGCAAAACTTCTGTGAAAAGCTTTACTATGCGTTTCTTGCGCGTGAACTGCCACAGCATTTGGGGATTTCTACAACAGGCTTTCGAAACCGAAATCAGGTAATGTATACGAACTTCTGATTTTGAGTTAATCGAAGTCTCTCTCCTTTCTCCCTTTCTGTGATTGATTTAAAGTCCTCTGAAGGAAGTTAGGGTTAGAGGTGAGAAGGATTTTGAATGTGCAACAGAGG